TGAGGGGTGTGCCAGAATGGGGGGTGGAACCGCATGCGGGCGCAGCCACTGGGGCCTTCGGTGGAGCTCCCTATGGGGCCACGAAACGTGTGAGGGGTGTGCCAGAATGGGGGGTGGAACCGCATGCGGGCGCAGCCACTGGGGCCTTCGGTGGAGCTCCCTATGGGGCCACGAAACGTGTGAGGGGTGTGCCAGAATGGGGGGTGGAACCGCATGCGGGCGCAGCCACTGGGGCCTTCGGTGGAGCTCCCTATGGGGCCACGAAACGTGTGAGGGGTGTGCCAGAATGGGGGGTGGAACCGCATGCGGGCGCAGCCACTGGGGCCTTCGGTGGAGCTCCCTATGGGGCCACGAAACGTGTGAGGGGTGTGCCAGAATGGGGGGTGGAACCGCATGCGGGCGCAGCCACTGGGGCCTTCGGTGGAGCTCCCTATGGGGCCACGAAACGTGTGAGGGGTGTGCCAGAATGGGGGGTGGAACCGCATGCGGGCGCAGCCACTGGGGCCTTCGGTGGAGCTCCCTATGGGGCCACGAAACGTGTGAGGGGTGTGCCAGAATGGGGGGTGGAACCGCATGCGGGCGCAGCCACTGGGGCCTTCGGTGGAGCTCCCTATGGGGCCACGAAACGTGTGAGGGGTGTGCCAGAATGGGGGGAACCGCATGCGGGCGCAGCCACTGGGGCCTTCGGTGGAGCTCCCTATGGGGCCACGAAACGTGTGAGGGGTGTGCCAGAATGGGGGGTGGAACCGCATGCGGGCGCAGCCACTGGGGCCTTCGGTGGAGCTCCCTATGGGGCCACGAAACGTGTGAGGGGTGTGCCAGAATGGGGGGTGGAACCGCATGCGGGCGCAGCCACTGGGGCCTTCGGTGGAGCTCCCTATGGGGCCACGAAACGTGTGAGGGGTGTGCCAGAATGGGGGGTGGAACCGCATGCGGGCGCAGCCACTGGGGCCTTCGGTGGAGCTCCCTATGGGGCCACGAAACGTGTGAGGGGTGTGCCAGAATGGGGGGTGGAACCGCATGCGGGCGCAGCCACTGGGGCCTTCGGTGGAGCTCCCTATGGGGCCACGAAACGTGTGAGGGGTGTGCCAGAATGGGGGGTGGAACCGCATGCGGGCGCAGCCACTGGGGCCTTCGGTGGAGCTCCCTATGGGGCCACGAAACGTGTGAGGGGTGTGCCAGAATGGGGGGTGGAACCGCATGCGGGCGCAGCCACTGGGGCCTTCGGTGGAGCTCCCTATGGGGCCACGAAACGTGTGAGGGGTGTGCCAGAATGGGGGGTGGAACCGCATGCGGGCGCAGCCACTGGGGCCTTCGGTGGAGCTCCCTATGGGGCCACGAAACGTGTGAGGGGTGTGCCAGAATGGGGGGTGGAACCGCATGCGGGCGCAGCCACTGGGGCCTTCGGTGGAGCTCCCTATGGGGCCACGAAACGTGTGAGGGGTGTGCCAGAATGGGGGGTGGAACCGCATGCGGGCGCAGCCACTGGGGCCTTCGGTGGAGCTCCCTATGGGGCCACGAAACGTGTGAGGGGTGTGCCAGAATGGGGGGTGGAACCGCATGCGGGCGCAGCCACTGGGGCCTTCGGTGGAGCTCCCTATGGGGCCACGAAACGTGTGAGGGGTGTGCCAGAATGGGGGGTGGAACCGCATGCGGGCGCAGCCACTGGGGCCTTCGGTGGAGCTCCCTATGGGGCCACGAAACGTGTGAGGGGTGTGCCAGAATGGGGGGTGGAACCGCATGCGGGCGCAGCCACTGGGGCCTTCGGTGGAGATCCTTATGGGGCCACGAAACGTGTGAGGGGTGTGCCAGAATTGGAGTGGAACCGCATGCGGGCGCAGCCACTGGGGCCTTCGGTGGAGCTCCCTATGGGGCCACGAAACGTGTGAGGGGTGTGCCAGGATGGGGGGTGGAACCGTATGCGGGCGCAGCCACTGGGGCCTTCGGTGGAGCTCCCTATGGGGCCACGAAACGTGTGAGGGGTGTGCCAGAATGGGTGTGGGAGGGGGAGGAGGGGGGAGGAAGGGGAGGAGGAGGAAGGAGGAGGAAGGAGGAAGGAGGAAGGAACGCGGGGCGACGTCTCTTCAAAACGAGGACCCAACACCACAGGATGGTTGGGAAATATGGGAAGTGGGGGGGAAGACACAAACTCAGAAAATGTAGGAAACTATGGGGGATGTTTTTATTTGTGTATATTTATTTGTGTGTCCCAGGGCCCCTTCAATCTTGGATCTTTCTTGGCCATCCAAGGTGTCTTGTTGGGACGCCGTGGGGCCGCCAGTGGCCCCCTCTCGGGCCGTCTTGGGCCTCTGCAGAGACACTTTTGGGCCAGCCCGGGGCGCTCTTGGGTGTCCTCCTGGGCCAGCTGGGGGCCCTCCCTCTTTCGATTGCACGTGACCTTTCGCTGGAGTGATGCGCGGCCCCCGAGATCTGGGCGTTTCAAGTTCTTCACGCCACGCGTGCCCGCCGGGCTTCGGACCCCGGGGCCCTCGCGTGCACCGACCTGGCTCGAGAAGTGCCGCAGAGAGACTTCTCGGCGGCGGGCCTGGGGGGGAAGTGGGAGGGGGCGGGCCTTCTCAGATGGACCACTGGTGCGGGCCGATTGAGGCCTCCCGATCTGGGAATGCGATGCTGTCGCAGCGGTGGTGTCCCCAAGGGGCCCCCCCCCCTCGGACCGCGCACCAGAGGTCACTCCTGCCCCGGGTCACTCTTGCGTTGCCCGACGCTTGGCGATGGCCCCTCTTGGGCCCTCGACCGAAGAGCGTGCAAAGCGAAGCACGTGAAAGCGCACGATAGTAGTCCGTTTTCTCGGCCTCCGAATCGGGCGAAGAGAACTATACACATGCACCGATCCTGGCAATGCCCGTCCTTGACCCAGGATCGGTGCATATACCCTCCTGGCCAACAAGGTAGCGGGCGTATGCACCGATCCTGGGCTCAGGATGGGCCTGGCCAGAATCGGTGTATGTGCATAGTCCTCTCTCCTCTATCCGAAGGGCATCCCAGGGAGCATCTTGGGGGTGCGTTGGGGGCCTCTTGGGAGCCTCTTGGGCTTCTCGGCGCCTCTCGGGAGCCAGTGGCTGCCTCTTGGCGCACTGTGGGCCATTTTGGCGGCCTGGCCGACATGCTTGGGTTGGAGGCCCTGGAGAGGTGTCGAGAGTGACGGGCCTGTTCTCCACCACCAGAGCCACAAGTTGGAGGGTGGAAGGAGGAGGAGGAGGAGGAGGAGGACGATGAGGAGGATGACGAAGAGGATGAGGAGGATGAGGAGGAGGAGGAGGTGGAGGAGGTGGAGGAGGAGAGGACCCCCTCCCCCTCCAACTGATGGTGGTGGTGGTGGTGGAAAACACGCCCATCAGTCGAGAGTCTCATGGAGGCATCGGGCCGCCAATGAGTCCTCGGACAGAGGGGGGTACAGTCACGCAGGCGCGTCGAGAAGCGTTAATTATCGACAGGTCAATTGAGAGGACAGAGGCGCTCTCTGGGCATGGTTGGCGGGTGGACTGATCCCATTGTGCAGCCATCTTGCCCCATATTTCCCCTTCATCCCAGCTCTCCACATTTCTGCGCCAGTCCGCTGTTCGATGCAACTCCCCGCGGATCGATCGGCAAGAGAAAGTGCCCGCCTGTCTTCCCAAGTGTAGCTGGGTGGGATTGCAGGAAGGGGGGTGCGTGTCGGGGGGGTACTTGGGAAGACTCTCGGAAACTATGTCGGACAGCACTCGGCATTCTACCAGGCCTCGTCGTGTCAGTGGGCGCGGGGGCAGGTGCAGGGTACAGCAGACGGCTAGCAAACACGGCCGCATCCACATCAGGATTGGCCGTTTTCCGTCGATGACCAGAAGAGAGTGGATGGGTTGTCGGAGCTGGAACATTGCGGTGCAGGGCACACGTCGTTGTACGGTACAAGTAGGGGGCCACATGCGAACCCTACCCCTACCCCCACGATTTCTGAGCGGGAGGGTGGGGTTCACTTCGTTCGGGAGCTACCGTCGTTGTGCGGTGCAAGGCCGTGTCTCCGCGTGACGCGTGGCATATCTGCAAGGCCGCCGTGCGCGAGGCTAGTCCCAGGAGCCTTTCCACGGACTGCTCGCCAGGACGCGGCGCAGGCGGCCAGGCGCCCAGGCGGCTTGGTGCATCGTGCCTCCCTGGCTTCTTCTTCTTCTTCTGTTTCTTCGTTTTCTCATGCTTCTTGGTACTTTGATTTGTATTCTGATGATTCTTCATATTGTTATTACTGTTCCTCCTCATCCTCCTCATCCTTCCCTCTTAGAGTTGTTTGTTGATTGACTGCTGTCGTTTGTATCGTTGCCTTTGGGCGTCGCGCCATGGCTGTGGTCGCCTCGCCTGAGAGCGTGGCCCTGCAGGCTTCCCGTACGGTATCTGTGGGCTTCCCCCCAGGGGCTGGGGAGCTGAAGATATTCTTGAATCATTTGCGGCTTGTGTCGTGAGCTGGCTTCCTCCTTACCCCATTTTGTTGCACGGGCTTCGAGTGCAGCCGTGCCCGCGCCGAATGACCGCTCGCATGGTGCCGTCCCTCTCGTCAGGTGGTGTACGATGTACGTGACAGTCGCTTTGGGGAGTCACGCTGCCCCCCCACCCTCTTCGTCCTCGGCCCCGTCCTCATGATGGTCCTGCCCCGTTCTGCCTCGCAAGCCAAGGTTTCGCGCTCGGTCTCGCTCACTGCAGGTTGGTCTGTGCGTGGCTCCGGCTTGGCTTGGTACACTTCAGTGTCACCACCGTTCGTCGCAGGGAAGTTCGATTGTTTCCCGTGGGGGGAGGGGGAAATGCAGCTCACAATTCCAATAACCTCTTCTTGAAATCTTTACGCACCTCGACGCCCCAACGCCAGAATGCCTCAACTACCCGAACACAGATGAACACACCGTAACACCGTGATGCAACAACGCCCTAATGCCTCAATTCGCGAATGCACATGTGCTGGGGGGGAACAAGGCACAACAACGAGGGCCAGGCGGCCGACGACACTCTGAGATCCCCAGAAGGGCTCAAGGAGAACTCCAAGAGGGCGCTGGCAGAGACCAAGAGAGCCCAAGACTGCACCCGGGGACTCCTAAGTCATTCTGGATCAAGCCGCCCAGGCTCGGGTCGACCTGTTTTCGTGAGTCTTTCGCGTAAAGTATTCATCAGCCGTACTATATTGATATATATCTTTGTGCTTCGTGGTCGGCACGATCCTGGCCATGTGCGCTCCTTCGAAGGTTCCTGTGCTTCTGAGCGTCGCGCTGGCAGTGGCGGACGTGAGCGCTGTGCTGGTGAGAAGACCGCACGAGGAGAGCGCGCCGAGTTGCCAGGATCAGGAGGGGAAAAAACACACAGACACAATTAATCGTCGATCCCCAGGAAAATATGCGAAAATATGGGAATTGGGGGGGAAGACAAAAACCCAGAAAATATTAGAAAATATGGGGAATATGTTTATTTGTGTGTATTTATTTGTGTGTCCTGGGGCCCCTTTACAGGAGACTGACGAATGTAATACTGAGTTCGTTAATTCTTATGGTTTTCTTACCGCTATGGATGTGCGGCCGTCGAAGCCCGATAATGATGCGCCCAGAGTGGATCCAGACGATTACGTGGGGAAGATCAAGAATCACAGCACCGTATATGTAATCAGCAGCGCTCTCGGGAGCTTCATCAAGGAGGTGTGGCCTACAATTCCAAGAGACATTTCTTTTGTGCTCGTCACGGGTGCAGCAGTCACATCGCTGCCGTACGATACAGACGGGAGATTGAAGTCCGGCGGGACACATTTAAAGTGGTCACAACATGATTTCGAAGATTTTATCAACGACACGCGCATCGCGCATTGGTTCACACAGAATTGTGTTGCCCGGCATCCCAAACTTAGTGCGATTCCACTTGGAATCGATTATAGGTGGTTGAACAGGGGTGTCAAGAGTGCGGCAATTAGCCAGGTTCACAATCCTGGACACGCGTGGGGTCAACACCAAACGCCTCAGCAGCAAGAGCAAACATTTCTCGATGTTATCCGAGACGCCTACGGCGAGTCACTTTCGCCCCCTGCCTCTTAGCAGCGCCCATGCGGTCCAACGTTGGACCAAGCTAGAGGAGGCCTCTTGAGGCCCTCTCGGGGCCTCGCGGAGGCTTGAGGGCCTCTCAGGGGCCTCTTGGGGGCCCCTGGGGGCCTCTAAAGGGCCTCTTGGCCTACGGAGGCCCTCTTGGGGGCCTGTATGAGCCGTCGTGGATCCGTTTTTTTAGTGCCGTAGCACAGTCTCGGAGATCTGTAAGTCCGTCTTGTGGGGCTTCTTGGGTCCCTCTGGGGCCGTCATTGAGGGCCTCCTGGGGGCCTCTTGAGCTGTCTTGGGGCTTTTTTGGGGGGCCCACGGAGCCTTGGCGCGTCGGGAGCCCGGAAAGGCGAGAACGCTGCAAACAATGAACAGCCTGACAGTCGGGGCCCTGAAGAAGGAACCCTTTTCGTTGGGGAGGGGCTCCGTGTTCCTTGATTGCTTCACAGTTTGCCCTGGGTTTTCCTCTGGTTTCCGGTGGGAGATCGAGGTGCAACTTGTGGATGGAGGGGGCCTCGTTCCTTATTTCGGGTTCCTTGGGTCAACGTTCCGACTGTAGGAGCATCAGAGATTTGGGTTTCCTTGAGGTCCTCCTGGAGCCCTCTTGTGGCGTCTTGGAGGCTTCTTGGGCCGTCCAGAGGGCATCTTGGGCCGTTTTGGAGGCCATTTTGGAGGCCATCTTGGGCGTCTCAGGAGGCGGACGAATGGCCTTCCTGGATGGTTTTTCTGGTAGGCTGGCGGGATTGGCTGAGATACCCTTGGGAATTGTTGGGAGGGTTCAAACAAGTATTTAAACCAGTCAGCACGCCAAGTAGCCTTGTGACATGCATATGGTGTGGCGGATCCAGTGGTTTTCGGCTCATCCCGCCAACGTGCTTGAGTCGTTGTCCAGGCAGAGGCCTCTTGGGAGGCATCCGTGAGGGCTGTTGGGTCTTGGCCTCGTCGGGGCCTCTTGGAGGCTTCCTCTGGGGGGGGGCCTCTCGGGCCGTCTTGGTCGCTCTGCAGACCCGCAAGCCGAGAGTGTGACAATCATACTTGCTGTTCGCCTCCCGGGCCCGCGAGGCGTCCAAGAGGGCTCCAGGACGGCCCCTGGAGGCCATCGTGGGCCATGTCGGGAGCCGCGCTCCCGAGCTCTCGGGAGGAGGTCCGCGAGTCCGTGCGTTGGGGGGCCTGGGGCTACGGCCGGACCGAGGTATGAGGTCGAGGTCGGTTCGGGGAGGGTGCCCTAATGTTCTTCGTGCTTGTTGGATGTTCTCGTGTATCCTGGGAGAGGGTACCCTCGAATGTTTGTCCGTTGGCTGGCGGAGGGTCCCATGTTCTTGAGGAGTGTTATTCTGTTCTAGGTCTGGCCGTATTGAAAGCGATGCCACAATCTTCCAGGCAGAGAGCTCGAAGAGACCTGAGAACACTCCACTCGGTGCTCCGCGGCACGGTGGCGGATCAAGGCTCAGAAGCCATGGGCGGAGAGGATGTCTGCGGCGTATGCGGATTTCCATCTGCAGATGGACAGCAGACCTGGGAAAGGGTCCCGCAAAGATGCGCTGGACGAGTTGAGACGGCCTGAGCACAAGTCAAGCATACATTGGGCGACTACCAGACGCGACCGCGTGGACATCTGGAAGGAGTATGCAGCACATAAGTACGTGGTCGCACCCCTCGGCGTTGGCTTGGACTGCTATCGCATCTGGGAGACCCTTATTCTCGGCTCGATTCCCATCGTGCCTTACAGCGAGTTAGTCGACGACGAGCTCTTCGAGGACCTTCCGGTACAGCGTGTCTCCACGTGGGCAGAGGTCGACGTGGGGGAGTGGAGCCGCTCCGCGCCGCCGGTCGTGGTGAGTCCCTCGGCGTGGAATCCACAGTTCAGTGAGAAGTTGACGCTGGAGTTCTGGCTCCGCAAGATAAGATCGAAAGCAATACAACTGCATACCATAAACTTTTGACGCCCCGCGCGGACCGTAAAAAAGGTTATGTTCATGCAGTTCTATTGTTCTTCGGTAAGAGCGGCCGCGCTCCCGCAGCCGTAGGCTGTGCACGGAGGGTTGCTCTCTTGGCTTGCAACGGCCTGCAAAAATAATACTATTCTCAGTAGAGGGTCAGGTGCTGATGCCGTCGCGCTTCCGTCGTCGCCGCGGCTGGATTCGCTTGGAAACCCTGGTCAAAACGCATCCAGGAGAGGTCCCTGGAGCGCAGTCCACCCGCATAGTAAGGATGGGCAACCTTCCCAAGGGCACCCTTGCATCCTTGTCTCCTCGGTCCATCCTTGGCCAGTTTCGTTGGCCGCGTTGTGCTCGAAAAGCTTCGAAATGGCCCTCCGAGGCCCTTGCATCTATGTCCCGCATCCTTATTATACGGGTTGACTGTAGCCTCAAGTCGGGCCTGTCCCTCTGCAGGGGGAATGTTCAAAAAGAGTCACAATGTAGCTTGGGGATTATTTTTTTGAGTATCTTTGGACATCTTTTGGGATTTTTTGTTGATGCATATTTTTTATCTTTCGCCCAAACTCCCCCTGCAGGGGGACAGGGCCGACCCAACTGTAGCCCTGTCCATGTCGCAAAATAGCCACATAATAGTCACAAAATAGCCTGGGGACATTTTTTTGGTGTATTTTTTGACATCTTCTGAGCATTTTTTGGATACTTTTATATTCTTCGCCCAAGCTCCCCCTGCAGGGGGACAGGCCCGACCCAGCTGCAGCCCCCTCCAGGTCGCCTCCGGCGCGACGCCGCACCGCGGCCTTCTTCTTCTTCTTCTTCTTTTTTTTGGGGAGTATTTTTGAGTATCTTCGGACATCTTTTGAGCATTTTTTGATATTGTTTCATTCTTCGTCCAAAATCCCCCTGGAGGGGGACGGGCCCGACCTCCTCCTCCTCCTCCTCCTCCTCCTCCTCCTCCTCCTCCTCCTCCAACTGCAGCCCCGTCCAGGCCGCCTCCCGCGCGACGCCGCGCCGCGGCCCGCGTCGCAGGGGCGCCCCCCCTCCCTCCGGGGCCGGCAGCGCGAGGGCGCTCGGACGAGCGCGCGCCGCGGGGCGCGAAGGGCGCGAGAGCAGGGGGCTGTCCCTCGCTCGCCGCCGAACCGTGGACCAGCAGCCATTTGCCACCGCTTGGGGGGGGCGCACGACCATCTTGCTTCCGCTGGCCTCCGCCCGCGGAGAGCCCCCCCCCTCGCCCGCTCTGCTTCCGCCGCCCTCCGCAGGGGGCCTCCCGCCCGGCCTCCTCCGCCGGGGCAGAGAGGGCCACCTCCTCCGGAGGCCCTCGACGAGGAGGCCTCCCAGAGGGGGTGCGAGCAGATGGGGTCGGAGGATCGCGCGCGGGGCCCTGGGGTCGGGTCGGGCCTGTCCCTCTACAGGAGGAGTGTTCAAAAATGGTATCAACAAATAGTCGGGGGACTAGTTTTGGAGCATTTTCTGACCATCTCGGAGTAGTATTTTTTTTGAAATATCTTTTTAAAAGGCATGTTTCTATTCTTCGTGCGCCGTGCGAAAGCAGGGGGGCCTGGGGCCAGGTCGGGCCTGTCCCTCAACATGCGGGCTCTGGACGAAAAATCATACACACTCAGAAGAGTACGCCAAATGTGTTCAACAAGAATCAAAAATCGTCCCCATATTATCTTTTGACTATTTTTGAGTATTCGTCCTGTAGAGGGACAGGCCCGACTTGACCCTAGGGTCAAGTCGGGCCTGTCCAGCTGCGTCTAGCCCGAATGGAATCCTATTGGAGTTGCGTCCAGATCAAAGAGAATCCTACTAGAGCTGCGTCCAGCTCTAATAGAAATCGACTAGAGCTGCGTCCAGCTCTGGAAGACTCCTACTAGAGCTACGTCCAAACCCCCTCCCGACAAAACCGCGGCTCCCGCTCGATGCTTCCTCCGTTCTTACTCAAAGCGGTGTTCCTCCTCGCCGCCGCAAGCCGCCGTCTCATCAAAACCAGCGTTCCCGCTCGAGACTTCGTTTTGTTTCACGCTGAACTAGCGCCCTACTCTCTTCAGCATTGGCGCCGCTCCCAGCAGCAACATCAGCCCTGCTCGAGACTTCATCCCTTTCTATTCAGGGCCAGGTCCTTGCCTCACCGCCGACAGCCCCCATCCCCACCAAGACAATCCTGTCGTTCGATACTTCCTTGTGCTTTACCCAGGCAGCACTGCGCGGGCGTGTGTTTTCGAGGCGGGATATGTTGAAATTCCTCGGAGGAGGTGTTTGCAAGACCTCATTGGGCGGGAGAGCTGGGAATGGGAATACGGGACCCCGCTATAGAACAAGAGTCCTCCATGATGTGGATGGTTATCATGATGGTCGCATGCTTCGTGTGGAAACGTCGTGCATGAGGGTAAAATGATTGTTGTTGTTATTGTTGTTGCTGCTGCTGCTGTTGTTGTTGTTGCTGTTGGTACAGGCGGAGCAGGCCCCCCCCCCCGGGGGGGAGATGGGAGGGGGGGGGGGGCGAATAACACAACGCAGCGCAACCCTATGGGGGCTCGTGTGTGTGTGTGTGTGTGTGTGTGTGTGCGTGTGTGCGTGTGTGCGTGTGTGCGTGTGTGCGCATGTGCGTGTGTGCGTGTGTGCGTGTGTGCTACAGATGAGGGATTCTTAAGGATTCCGTCAACATTCCCTAAAAGGTGCCCGAAGGATTTCCTAGGGATTCTTAAGGATTCTGAAGGATTCCCGAAGGATTTCTTAAACATCCCCGAAGGGTCCCCTGAGGTTTCTTAAGAATTCCTGAAGGACTCCCGAAGGATCCCCTCGGGATTCTTTACGGATTCCCTGAGGATTCCCTAGGGATTATTAAGGATTCTTAGGAGTTCCCTGGGAATTCTTTTGGATCCCCTTAGGACTCTTAGGGATGCTACGACTACGACTACTACTACTGATACTGCTACTACTAGTTCTACTACGAATCCTAGTTCCAGTAGTAATTTTCAGACGACTATTATTATGACCATTATTACTACTACTACTACCACCGCTACTACTACTACTACTACTACTACTACTACTACTACTACTACTACTACTACTACTACTACTACTACTACTACTGCGAATACACTTTGAATTGCTACCACTACTACTACTACTACTACTACTACTACTACTACTACTACTACTACTACTACTACTACTACTACTACTACTACTACTACTACTACTACTACTATTACTACTTCGACGGCTACTGCTTTTATTTTCTTGCTACTAGTCGTTGTATTAGTATTACTACTAATATTTTCATTAGCAGAACTACTACTATTACGAATGCTAGTAGTAGTATTACTACTGCTACCAGTGCTACTACAATTTCTTGGGCTACTACTTCTACTAATGCTGCTGCCACTACTATTACTACTACTGCTACACCTCCATTGCTATTTCGATTACCACTACTCATACCCATATTGCAGATACCTTAGGGATTCTTAAGGGTTCCATGGGGGTTCTTAGGAATCCCCTAAGGATTTTGAAGGAATCCCTTAATGATACCTTAGGGATTCTGAAGAGGCCACCAAGGACACCCAAGGGATTATTGAGGATTCTATAAGGATGCCTGAGGGATTCTTCAGGATACCTCGAGGATCCCGTAAGGATCCTCAAGGCTTCCCCAGGGATTCTTAAGGATTCCCTGAGGATTCCCAACGGATTCCATAGGGATTCTTGAGGATTCCCAAAGGATTCCCTAGGGATTCTTTTTAGGATTCTCTTGGGGATCCTGAAGGATTCCTGAAGGATTCCCGAGGGACTCAGCAGGATACCCTGGGATCCTTAAGGATTCCGTGAGGTTTCCCTATGGATTCATCAGGATCTGTTAGGGATTATCAAGGATTCCATAAGGATTCCGAAGAATTCCCCAAGGATTCCCCAAGGATTCCATAGGGATTCTTAAGGCATCCCTCGGGATTCTTAAGGACTCCGTAGAAATTCTGTAGGATTCCTTAAGGATCCCCTAAGGGTTCTTAAGGATTCCCGATGGATTCCTGGAGGATTCCTATGGAGTCTTCAGGACTCTTAAGGATTCCCTAAGGAGTCCCTAAGGATTCTTCAGGATCCCCTCAGGATTCCCAAAAGGATTCTTCCGTAGCCATTTTGGCTCAAGCCGTTCCCTGTTCTGCTCGCTCTCGTTTTGGGCCCCGCGGGAGGCCGCAGAGTTCGGGCGCTTGGGGGGATGGCTACGGTCGGCTGCCAAGCTGCCCCTGTGGCGGCCGAGCAGCCTCGGCAGGCGGGAGGGGCCGCGGCTTCTCTCTGGCCTGCGCGCCGCGCCCGCCAGTGCGCTGCGCGCAGTGCGGCCCAAGGGAAGCTGGCGGCTGCCTTGGCGAGAGTCGCCACGCTCGAGGCCGAGCTCGCCGACTGCCGCGCGGCGCGCGGGGAGGCGGCGGCGCAGGCCGTGCGTATCGCGGCTCTTCCGCTCGGCAGCCAGCAGGTCCCCGACGACGTCCTGGTCCAGGAGCTCGCGACGCGGCTGGCCCTGGCCGTGCCTGTGCTGATGGACATGCTCGCCGACCGCCGCGCAGCTGCAGTTGGCGCCGCTGTCCCTCGCGCTGCCCCCGCCGCGCCGCCCCCCTGTGGCGGCAGCAGCGGGGCACAGTGTGCCACGCTCGGCGCGGACGTCAGCGACGAGCTCGCATCGTCGCTCACCGTTGATGGGGCCGCTTCCTCGGGAGCATGCAGGCGCGCTCCGCCGCTGGTCACCGCCAGGCGGAATGCTGGCATGCATTGCGCTTCGAGGAGGGGCGCATCAATTGCGAAGATGAGGTTGACATCGCTCAACCGACTGCAGCGTAGCGGTCCAGTTTGTCGACCTCGGCAAGGACGCGATGCTGGTGGTCGTGGTCGTGCTGCTCTTCCTCAGCTTCGCCCTGCAGGTGCAGCGGTTCCACGCCGCCGCGTGCCTGCCCAGCGCTCGGCGGCCGAGGGAGTGGAGACGGGCTGGTGTGTGGCTCGCAGGCGCGGGCGCAGCCTGCCCGCTGGCGCGTCCTTCGCGCTCGCCGAGCTTGTGCGCAGCGCTTGTCATCCCACTGCGGCCCCGCTGGCTTCTGGGCCGCTTTGGTGGCGCGCTGGCGTCGAGGGATTGGATGACTCGGCCTTGGCAAGGCCTGAGAGCAGCGGCGGCTTCGGCGAGCACCCTGCCCCTCGGCCTTCCGAAGGTGGTGCTGTTCATCCTCATCGCCTCCCTGATCCTGGTGCGGCGTGCAGCACTGCCTGCGCCTCCTCGCCTGCTGCTTTCGCGGACCCCTCGATCGTCGCGGCGTACTTGCTGGCCAACGAGTCTGCCGTCCTCAGCGGTGGCAGCGAGATGGCCGCTGGCGACATCGACGGCGAGTTCAGCATGCAGGAGGTCGGCTCCCGCAACCAGGGCGGCGACAGGTCCTTGGCCTCGGATGCCGTGGCGCACGGCGGCTTCGACCTCTCCCCGCACCTCGGCACGGGCGACGGCGTGGAGGCGGCTGGGCCCCAGCGCGACGGCGGCGGGAGCCTGGGCGGCGACGCCCTCCTCACTTCGCCTCCCTCGGGCTCCTGCTCCTGCTCTGGCGGCGGCGGGATCGATGGGGAGGACGGCGTGGGCGGCGTCGGTGACGGCTGCGCGCTCCACGGCTCGGAGACGGTGGCGCGCCAGGAGCCCGCGCGTGGGCCCAAGCGGCTCCTGGCTCTGCGCCGCCGCGTCTTCGCGGGGTGCGTGGCCCTCACGGTCGACCGCGACATTCGGAGGCCGGGCTGGCAGGGCGCAGGCGGCGACGACGCCCCTCCAGCTCCCTCAGCCTCCGAGCGAGAAGCTGGGCGCCTCTGGCTCCGCGACACGTTCGGGCCTGGCTCCCCGTGGAGGACGTGGGCCAGGCAGGAGCGGCGGCGGAGGCGCGAGGCTCAGCTCCAGCAGTAGGCGGCGGTCGGCGCTTTCTCTCTGGCGAGCGTGCTCTGCGGTGCAGTCAGCCTCGCTTGCCTTGCTTGGCGGCATCTGAATTTGTCTGTGCATGATAAGCCCCAGCGTGATTGGATAAAAAACAAAAGGATTCTTCAGGAATCCCTATGGATTCCTTTCGGATTCTTACGGGTTCCCGGAGGATCCCCGGAGGATTCCCGGAGGATTCCCTATGGATTTTTAA